ATCTCTGGGTATGCAAGCTGGTGCAGCCACTCTGGAAAACAGCGCAGGGGTTCCTCAAAGAGTTGAAAATAGAGCTACCCTATGACCCAGCAATTGCACTACTAGGTATTTACCCCAAAGATACAGATGTAGTGAAATGAAGGGGCACCTGCACTCCAGTGTTCATAGCAGCAATGTCCACAATAGCCGGATTGTGGAAGGAGCCACGATGTCCATTGATAGATGACTGGATAAAGAAGATGTGGGATATACATACAATGGAATACCACTCAGCCATCAAAAAAAAAAATCTTGCCATTTGCAATGACATGAATGGAACAAGAGGGTATTTTCCTGAGCAAAATAAGTCAATTAGAGAAAGGCAATTATCATATGATCTCACTCATGTGTGGAATTTAAGAAACAAAACAGAGGATCACAAGGGAAGGGAGGGAAGAATAAAATGATGAAAACAGAGAGGGAGACAAACCATAAGAGATTCTTAATCATAGGAAACAAACTGAGTGTTGCTGGAGGGGAGGGGGTGGGGGGGACAGGGTCACTGGGGGGATGGGGATTAAAGAGGGCACGTGATGCAATGAGCAATGGGTATTATATGAGACTGATGAATCACTGACCTCGACTTCTAAAACTAATAATACAGTATATGTTAATTAGTGGAATTTAAATTTAAAAAAATCAAAAATCAAAAAAGGAGAGAAAAATCTATATCTGTACTGATTTTTGGGGGGAGGCTACTTGTTCTATGAATTTTTGAGAAGGGTGTTAAAATCTCTAAATTTATTTATTAATTTATTATTGTAGATTTATTTGCTTCTCTGGTTCTGTCAATTTTTGCCTTAAGCATTTTGAAGCTCTATTGTTATGTATATACACATTAAAATTATTTTTATTTATTTTTATTTTTTAAAGATTTTGTTTATTTATTCATGACACACACACACACACACACACACACACACACACAGAGGCAGAGACACAGGCAGAGGGAGAAGCAGGTTCCATGCAGGGAACCTGATGTGGGACTCAATCCCGGGTCTCCAGGACCACACCCTGGGCTGAAGGCGGCGCTATTACTGCAGAGCCATCTGGTGTGCCCTAAAATTTTTTTAAATTTAAATTAAGTTTAGTTCAATATAGTGTATTATTAGTTTCAGGGGTAGAATTTAGTGTGTATATACACATTTTTAAAAAAGATTTTATTTATTTGAGAGAGAGAGAGAGGGAAGGAGAGAGAATAAGTAGGGGAAGAGCAGAAGGGGAGGGAAAGGTATGAGCTGACTCCAAACTGAGCACAGAGCCTGACCTGGGGCTCGATCTTACAACCCTTAGATAATGACCTGAGCTGATATCAAGAGTCAGACACTTAACTGGCTACACCACTCAGGCACCCCAAGAATTCCATTTTTTTAAAGGCTGAATAATATTCCATTGTATGAGTATATCTCATTATGTTTATCCATTCTTCTATTGAGGGGCAGGTGGCTTGTTTCCACCTTTTGGTGACTGAATCCTGTTGCTGTGAATCAATCTCATTTATGTGATTTTAAGCCAAAGAGTCTGCTGGATTCAGTAATAGCCATATATTTTCTTTCCTATTAGGGTCATTAATTTTGTTCACCAAATATTTCTACCTCTTTGCCTTCTGAGGGTATGCCAAGATTACATCTTCTGGCTCCCCTGTCATCAGATGGGGTCCTGCAACTAGTTCTGGCCAACAGATTGTAGCACACACTTCTACTTCTAGACCAGAGCCTTTAACTGCCAGCGGGAAACCCTCTAGGGATCTCATTGCCTTGGCCATCGTCAAGATGCTGGCTGACCTGTCACCCTGGACGCTAGAATGAGGAGACATGAAAGCTGAGCCTCTAGCTGACTTTTGGTGGATATGTAGTGTTATGGACTGAATTGTGTCCCCCCAGATTCATAGGTTGAAGTCCTAACCCCAGTGTGGCTCCTTCTGGAGATGGGGCTTTGGGGAAATAATTAAGGTTAAATGAGGTCATACAAGTGGGGCCCTGATCGGATAGGATTGATGTCATTAAAGAAGAGATGCCATAGAGCTGCTCTCTCGCTTCATCTCTGTACACATGCACCTGAGGGCAGAGCTGGATGGAAGCTGCTTGCAAGGCCAGGAACACAGCTCCCACCAGAAACCCAACCGGCTGGCACCTTGATTTTAAACGTCTAGACTGGAGCACTGTGAGAAAGTAAATGTCTGTCGTTTAAGCTTCCAGTCTGTGGAATCTTGTTATGGAGGCCTGAAGACTAAGGTAGGTCGTGTGAGTGAGTGTTACCTTGGTTGTTACAAGATTGTAGGATTTTAAGATTTTAGGGTTCTTCATCCTCTCAGCGTAGCTGAGACTATCCTGATTGGCACGATCCCTTTGGCTGAAAGGAAAAGAGAACGATACAGTGAGGCTGAAGCTGCTCTACCTTTAGAAAGGCAACTGCAAATCCAACAGAAGTGGATTTTTGGACCTTGGTTCAAATGACCAAGGTCTGATGGCAAGGCCTGAAGAAGCTGCAGCGATTGCACAAGAGATACCAATACATGTGTGACGTCAGAATGACTAAAGAAACTTTTTAAAAAAGGTTTTATTTTTCAGTAATCGCTATGCCCCAGGTGGAGCTTGAACTCACAACCCTGAGGTCAAGAGTCTCGTGCTTCACCAAATGAGCCATCCAGGTGCCTTGCTAAAGAAATGTTTATAAATAACCTTTTTAAAAAAGATTTATATATTTATTTGAGAGAGAGAGTGAGAGCAAGAGAGCAAGAGAGAGAGAGAGAGAGAGAGAGAGAGAGAGAGAGAAGCGAGCAGGGGGAAGGAACAGAGGGAGAGGGAGAGAGAGCCCCAAGCAGACTCCACACTAAACATGGAGCCCGATGCAGGGCTCAATCTCACAACCTTGAGATCATGACCTGAGCCAAAACCAAGAGCCAGTCACTTAATTTACTGAGTCACCCAAGCACCCCCTATAAATAATCTTGACAGAAAAATAATGAAAAAAGATTTTATCACACATGTATACATTTGATTTTGGGGCCCTTTTTCCTCAATGTAGGTTAGGATTTACATTCTTTGTATCTTCAATCTAATGTCTTAAAAAATATTCTGCAGTTATTATAGTTTTCTAAACTAACTCACTGCTGGGGCACTTGGCCAGGTCAGTATGTAGAGCATGTCACTCTTGGTCTCAGGGTTTTGATTTTGAGCCTCACGTTGGATGTAGAGATTATTTTAAAAAAATAAATGAACTTGGGGGCACTTGGGGGGCTCAGCAGTTGAGAGGCTGCCTTCGGCTCAGGGCGTGATCCTGGGGTCCCGGGATCGAGTGCCGCATCGGGCTCTCTGCAGGGAGCCTGCATCTCTGCCTCTCTCTGTGTCTCTCATGAATAAATAAATAAAATCTTTAAAAAAATGAGCTCATTGCTTAGTATGCTGCTTTTCATAGCACTTGAATAAATAAACTTTTATCATGAAGAGAATCCAGTTGGGTTTTTTGTTTTGTTTTGTTTTGTTTTAACCCCTAGGGCTGCTGTTAAGCTTGTAGTCTCAGGCTGTAGGATTGGCAAACCTGCAGTGAAACAGGGAGATATAAATAAGGTGAATAAAAACCAAGTGCCTCCAGAGAATGTGAAAAGAAGCCACAGACTAAGTAAAAAACATTTGCAGAAAATATATTGATAAAGGACTCTTATCCAAAATATACACGTAACTCTTAAAAATCAACGAGAAAAGAGCAATCTTATTTAAAAATAGGCAAACAATCTGAATATAGACAGATTGCCAAAGGTGACACACAGATTGCATATAAAGATAAGAAAAGACGCTCAAGGTCACATGACATGAAGGGATTGCAAATCAAAGCAAGGAGAGGCCACTGCACACCCATTCGCATGGCTAAAATCCAGAACAACAGCAAATGCTGGAAGTGATGTGGAGACAGGAACTCTCATTCGTTGTTGGTACAAGTGCAAAATGGTGCCTTTGAAAGATAGTTTGTCAGTTTGTTACAAAACATACCCTTGCCTTATGATCTGGCAATTGTACTCCTAGGTATTTACCCAGTGAATCAAATATTTATACCCATACAAAAAGCTGCATGTGATTATAGCACCTTTATTCATAATTTTCCCAAATTGGAAGCAACCTAAATGTCCTTCAACAGATGAATGGATAAACTGTGGTCTGTCCATACAATGGAATAGTAGTCAGTGATAAAGAGTAGTGATCTATCAAGCTACAAAGACATGGAGGAAACGTAAATGCATATTGGTAGGTGAAAGGGGCCAGTCTGCAAAGGCTCCCTACTGTATTGTTCCAACCATATGACATTCTGGAAAAGGCAAAACCATGGCAACAGTGAAATGACCTGTGGTTCCCAGGCATTTGGAATGTGGGGGTTGGGGGGGGGGTGGGGGAGAAAGAATAGGGAGAGTGCAGGGGATTTCCAGGGCAGTGAAACTATTCTGTGACACTATAAAGGTGGATACATGTTATTTTACATTTGTCGAAATTCATAGGATGGATAACACCAAGAGTGAACCCTAATGTAAACTATGGACTTTGGGAGATAATGATGCATCTTGTTGGCTTATTGACTGTCACAAGCATACCACACTGGCACCAGATGCTGGTGTTGGGGAGATGGTTATGTGTGTGTGGGTCTGTGTGTTGGGGTACCTGGGGGCTGTGTGTACTTTGTGCTTGGTTTCACTGTGAGTCTAAAACTGCGTTCAAATATTGTCTATCGGGATCCCTGGGTGGCGTAGCGGTTTGGCGCCTGCCTTTGGCCCAGGGCGCGATCCTGGAGACCCGGGATCGAATCCCACGTTGGGCTCCCGGTGCATGGAGCCTGCTTCTCCCTCTGCCTATGTCTCTGCCTCTCTCTCTCTCTCTGTGACTATCATAAATAAAAATTTAAAAAACAAAAAACAAATATTGTCTATCATTAAACAAACACACAAAAAATAAACACTCCACCAAGTGCCAACATGGAGAGAATATAGAGTTTAATTTTCTACAATGGAGAAAACACAAGCCTTATGATTTTCTGCCTCCACAGATCATTCGACAGAAACAGGCTAAGAACCCCTGTTTTGCAGAAAGGATTCAGCTAACGAAGGACTACTGTTTGAGGGGGAAGCTGATTGATGAGATAGAAACTGCAGGCACCTGTGAGAAGTCTGGCTCTGTCTGTGTAGCTGACTAGGGATTTGTCAGACACTGTATTCTACTAAATCCTTGGAATTCCCAGGCACCCAGGACCCACCAGTTGTTTAAAAAACATTTAAAAAAATTATTTATTTTAGAGAGACAGAGGGAGATCATGTGGACAAAGGGGCCGCGGGAGAAAATCTCAAGCAGACTCCCTTGCTGAGTGAGGAGCGGGACATGGGGCTTGATGCCATGACTCTGAGGTCATGACCAAGAGTTGGATGCTTAACAGACTGAACCACCCCATGCACTCCTAAAAAAATTGTTTTAGATATTGCAGACTTATAGAATATTAGTTGCAAGAATGGTATAAAGAATTCTTTTATACTCTTCACCCAGATTTCCCCAAATGTTAACATGATTACATTTGCTTTATCTCCCCTGGCCTCTCTCTCTCTCTCTCTCTCTCTCTCCACACACACACACACACACACACACTTTCTCTACTACCATTTGAGAATAAATTAAACACGATACCCCTTTCCCCTCAGAGACTCCACTGTGTATTTCCTAGGAACTCCTACATAACCACAGTACAATTATCAAGGTCAGGAAATTAACATTGATAAAACAATGCTGTAACCTGCAGGTAATATTCGGATTTTGCCAATTGTCCCAGCGATGTCCATTACAACAAAAGAAAAGTCCCGGACCATGCACTGCATCCAGTTGTCATGTCTTGTTGGCCTCCTTTAACTGGGACAGGTCCTTAGTCTTTCTTTTATTTCCTTCAGTCTTTGTCTTCCACACCTTCGATCTTTTTGAAAAGCACAGGCCAGCTGTTTTGCAGGATGGGCTTCAATCTGGGCTTTTCTCTCATTTCTTCATAATTAGATTCAGGTAATGCACTGTGGGTAGAAACGTCACAGAAGTGCTGTGTTGTACAAATGCTGGGGATGTTAATTTGATCACTGGGTTAAGGTGGTGTCTGCTAGGGTTTTCTGCTGACCATCCCGCCAAGCTTATTTCCCCCGAGAGCAGTCCTCTGGTACAAAGTAGACAGAATGGAGGATGTTCACAGATGAACTGCAAACAATCTTTCAACACTCAGCTTGAGCAGCCTTCATGTGGGGCCATCACTGAGCCTTCACTCCCCTTTATTTTTATTTTTTTCACTCCCCTTTATAGACTGGGAAGTCTTTGCCGTGTCCTGAGTCAGCACTTAGCATGCTACCACGGTCACTTCCCTGGTGGTGTCCAAAGACCAGCATGACTGGCACACAGTTGGTGTCTATAGACACTGAATGGATGGATGGAAGTGAGGGTGTGAGGAGACAGAGAAGAGGAAAAGTCCAGCCTGACGACAGATTTTGGGGAGATTTTTCCTGATACAGAAAGTGTCTGCAACTAGAGAGGAAGCTACCGTGTCCAGCCTGGCCTAACTCTAGTTTAGGCAGAGGGGCAGTGTTTCGGGACTGGGTTATCATTGGTGATCTGGGTAACATGTGGAGGGAAGACCTTAGTGGTCCCTACATTTAAGGCAGCCGTTTCCAGATTGCTGCCTTGCAGAAAGGCAGAAAGAGGTGATACCCTTCAAAGAACAGCACACTTGGTGCTGAGGTGGAGGAGAGAAGCAACTTCTGGTCATTGAATGACTCACCAAGGTCAGGAGTGACCCATCTGTGTGAAACTCCAAGAGGCAAGGCTCATGAGAGCTCACTCACACTGTCATGTCAAGGGAAGTGCCTAAAAGTGAGAAGAAATCTGAGGTCAAAGTTCCAGCTGTGGAGAAGCTATTCCGAGCAAGGAGCTAGTCAACAGAGAGGATGTCACAGTTCAAATTCAATAGAGCAGTGGATTCTATGAAGGAGACTCAGGGAAGAAAAAGGCAAAATATTAGGACTAAATTTTAAATGGGAAAAGGTAAGATCTAATTAGATCCAAATGAAAAAATCTTTAATCAGTTATTAATAGAAAAGGTAGACATAAAATAAGCAAGCTTCTAAAAGGCAAAGTCTCATACTAAAACGGAAGGCCAATTTGCTCAGGAAACTCATATTTCCTGCCCACTTTGTTTGCTTGGAAAAAACAGGAGAGCAGACCATCTGGGGTAATTAATTCTGGGGTAGAAATGTCAGAACCTGGGTAAACAGAGATTAGCGCCAAGATAAAAACAATAAAAGGAACCAGGAACTAAAAGAGAAACCACATTTCAATAAATTCAAAGGGGTAGAATTCTGGACAAAACTCAGAAGATTCCAGGGAGAAACCTATTTTGCCATTGGTTAACTTTTTGAACAAAAAAAAGTCCTGGTGAGGACTCTTGCTCCTTCATATTTAAATCATCTCAGGTTTTCAATCAATTTCTGTAAAATGTCCACAAGTCAAGAAGAAAGGTGTGTAAAAACCATTTAAAAACAAACTCCTGGGCAGGCCGGGTGGCTCAGCGGTTTAGCGCCACCTTTAGCGTGATCCTGGAGACCCGGAATCGAGTCCCACGTCCAGCTCCCTGCATGGAGCCTGCTTCTCCCTCTGCCTGTGTCTCTGCCTCACTCTCTGTGTCTCTCATGAATAAATAAGTAAAATCTTAAAAAAAAAAAAAAAAACAACTCCTCAGAACCTTCCCTTTCAAATACTACAACCCAAAGCCACAGAACTGGAAGAGGTTAAGGTTAAGTGGGCAGAGGTGATTAGCCTCCACGGTGATTGAACTTGGCTTTGGCAAACCGTGCTTTAATGGTCTGTTGCTCTAATGTCCAAATAGCATGCAACATAATTGGGAAGCAAGTGTGTCAGTCAGGTTCTCAGGCAACTTTCTTTGCTCCTCTCAGTGCTAACTAGGGACACTCCAGTGCTTGGCCTCACAAAGCCACTGGGAACAGCACCACAGAGATAACAGAAGAAGGTGTTCCTTCTCCTAGAACTGCAGAAAAGCATTTATTTCACAACAGAGAGCTAGTTCTGACAAAGTGGTAGGTGGAGAACATTTGCTAGAGCATCTATCTCTGAGTCTCTCATCTTCTTTCACCTTCTTGGAAGCAGAGACATGAGCCCTGATGTGAACCTCAGGCGCTGGGGTTCTCAGAGAGGCAGGAAGTACAAAAGTACAAGAGGACAGTTTCCACATTACACAGAGAGCAGGAAGAGAGCTCTAATCTGGGCTGGTTCAATCATCTGTTTTTGGTTGAGGGAACCAGGTTCTGGCAAGTGTAAGTGACTACGGCGGGAGCCTAGACTGGCTGACAGCCTGATTTTCTCCCTCCTGCCCCCATAAGATTCACATGCCTGGACCTGAGGCCTCACACAGAACCAAATCTGCACATTGTGCACGTGTCATGACCACATTGTGTGCCACATGAGTAACAGGTGCTACTAGAAATTAATGAGCAAGGTCAAGAAGTGACCTTGGACTTAGAAAGACTTGGGTTTGAATCTTGGGATAAATGCCCTTTCTGAGCATCATTTCCTCCACTGTAAAAGAGAGAAGTTAAGTCAAGTGACTTTGCTACTTAAACTTATTCAGCTTCAAACTACTTTGTGGAATTGTTAAGGATTAAATAACATAATTCAAAGCACCTTAGCATTTTAGATAAATCGGCATTCGGTGGTGCTTACTATTGTGAGCAGAGCTTTACTACCAGATGGCATGAGGCAGATTGTCTCTCAGTTGAAGCAAGGTAATGGGGGCCTGACTCAGGGAATTGGAGAGATGGCAACAGATTTAAGAGACATTTCAGAGTTATTATATCAGTTATCTATTACTCCATAGCAAACCACCCCCAAGCTTAGTAGCTTAAAACTACAATCATGTATTTTTCACAAATTCACATCTGCAATTTGGCCAGGGCTTGTCTCTGTTTCATACAGCATCATCTGAGGAAGATCAACCAGGAGCTGGAGGGTCCTCTTTCCAAGATGGCTTACTCACATGGTTGGTAAGTTGTTTCTGGATGTTGGCTAAGAGCTTAGCCAGGGCTGAGGGCTGGAGGCATTGGTTCCTTTCCAAGTGAGCCTCTCCACAGGGAAAGCCTGGGCTTCCTGATAGCATGGTGGTTGGTTCCAAGAATGAGGATTCCAAAAACAGTGAGATGGTATTTGTGATTTCATCTCCAAAGACAAATATCACTACTTCTTCTGTACTCTACTGATCCAGGCAGGAATGCAGGTCTATCTAAGTTCAAGGAGATTACAAAACCCATCTCTTGATGGGAGTCTAGAAGGGCATGCATCATAGAAGTCGCATCCATGCCTGGAAAACATAGCCTGTCATTGGTAGGGAATGACATGATCTGCCAATGATTGACTACAGGCAGTGAGGAAGAATGAGTTATTGAGGATTACTGAGGTTTCTGCCTTAGGTGACCCCGTGGTGCCATTAACAGAATTTGGGAACACAGAGGGTATTGTTAAAGTATTCAGACAAGTAGGCCATTAAACTGGGGTGGTGCTAAAACCATAATAGCCTCCATAAGCAAAACAAAACTTAGGCCAGAGCCAAAGAACTCAAATCCAGGCAAGTGAAACTTTAGAACCCATCAAAAGCAGCCAACTAGGCTTTCTAAGTAAGGTGACTGCTTAAGTATAACCAATCACATAATTGCCTTGCTTTGCTTCAGTGACTTCCCTGTGAAACCTTGCCCCAGCTCCTATCAGGTGAGCACTCCTAACCACTTTTGGGTCAGCACTGCTCAATTAAAATTGATATTTGTGCCAATAAGCTCTTCCAAAAGCTAATGTGCTTCAGTTTATCTTTTCCAGCATGTCTGGGGTGATTACTGGCCCTGAGAAGACCATAAGTAATGTGAAGACTGGAGCTTGGAAGGGGGTTAAGGGAGTTTGGCACACACAAATCTTTTAGCTGATATAGACTAGAAAAAATGGTTGAGGAGGAAGAAAGGGAACAAAAACCCAGATTCTTGGAACACAGTATCTCAGTGGAAGGAGGAATGAACAAGTGGACCTATGTAGGACAAAACCCATTAGATTTCAGTTTCATGGAAGCTGAAAAGAAGGTGAGTTAAGAATTGAAGTGGATTGGGGATCCATGGGTGGCTCAGCAGTTTACCGCTTGCCTTCGGCCCAGGGCGTGATCCTGGAGACCCAGAATCGAGTCCCACATCAGGCTTCCTGCATGGAGCCTGCTTCTCCCTCTGCCTCTCTCTCTCTCTCTGTGTCTCTCATAAATAAATAAATAAATATTTTATTTAATAAATAAATAAAAATCTTTAAAAACAAATTGAAGTGGATTTAACATCCCAAAGAAGTTCAAGATGGATTAGGATTGAGTAAGAAAGAGGCTGTGGGCTAGGAAGTGAGGGTACCCTGGTGACCTTTGGGAAAGTAATCCATAGCATGTACCATTATTTTTTTTTAAGATTTTATTATTTATTTATTCATAGAGATGCAAAGAGAGAGAGAGAGGCAGAGACACAGGCAGAGGGAGAAGCAGGCTCCATGCAGAGAGCCTGACATGGGACTCGATCCAGGGTCTCCAGATCACACCCTGGGCTGCAGGCAGTGCTAAACCACTGCGCCACCGGGGCTGCCCAGCATGTACCATTATATAGCCCTTTCTAGTGTTAAAAAAAACTGCAACACAAGGCTGAAATGCCTTGCTGGAAAATAAGCCACTCCTTGCCTCCCTCCCTCCCCCCGTTAATAGCAAAAGTGAATAGATTAAATACCTAAATGTTCAGACCCAGAACTATAACACTTCTAGAAGAACACACAGGAGAAAAGCTTCATGGCATTGGTCTTGGCAGTGATTTCCTGGGGATGACATCAAAAACACAGACAACAAAAGCAAAAATAGACAAGTGGGACCACGTCAAACTACAAAGTGTCTACACACTCAAGGACAGAGTGAAAAGACACACTATGGGAGGAAATATTTGCAAATCATTTATCATTGACAAAGGGTTGATATCCAAAAAATATAAGGAACTCCTTCAACTCAAAGCAAAAAACCCCCAAATAGCCCAATTTAAAAATAGGCCAAGAACTTGGGCACCTGGGTGGCTTAGTGGTTGAGCATCTGCCTGTGGCTCAGGGTGTGATCCTGGAGTCCTGGGATCAAGTTCCACATTGGGCTCCCCGCAGGGAGCCTGCTTCTCCCTCTGCCTGTGTCTCTGCCTTTCTCTCTCTGTGCCTCTCATGAATAAATAAATAAAATCTTAACAAAAAAAGTAGGCCAAGGACTTGAATAGACATTTCTCCACAGAAGACATTCAAATGGTCAACAGGTACATGACAAGATGCTCAACATCATTAGTCATTTCCCTAAATGCAAATAAAAGTCACAGTGAGATACCACATCATACTTGTTAGGAATGTACTATCAGTAAGACACAAAAGGTAACAAGTGTTAGAGAGAATATGGAGAAATGGGAACTCTGGCCTACTGCTGGGGCAAATGGAAAATGGTGCAGCCACTGTGGAAAACAATATGGAGGTTCCTAAAAAAATTCAATATAGATATATCATATAATCCAGCAGTCCCACGTCTACACATGTATCCAAAAGAGGTGAAATCAGGATCTTGAGATGGTATTTGCACTCCCATGCTCACAGCAACATTAGTCACAACAGCCAGGGTGGCAACAGCTCACATGTCCATTAACAGATGAGCAGATAAAGAAAAGGTACTATATGCCCCCAAATGGTTTATTGAACCTCAAAAAAGAAAGAAACCCTGCCAAATGTGACAATGTGGATGAGCCTTGAGGGCATTATGTAAATAAGCCAGTCATACAGGACAAACACTGCAGGATTCTGCTCCTATGAGGTACCAAAAATATTCAGAATACAAAGAAGCAGAGAGCGGAATGGTGGTTGCCAGGGATTAGGGGGAGGGGAAATGGGGGGGCCGCTATTCAATGGGTATAGAGTTTCAATTATGCAAGATGATTAAATTCTAGACATTGGTTGTTTGCCTGTAGTTAACAATACTGTACTGTATACTTAAAAATTTGTTAAGACGGAGATCTCATGTGAGATGTTCTTATTGCCCAAAACCAAACAAACAAGGATCGTCTCTCCCTCAAAAAAAAAAAACCCCTAAAAACCCACACAAAGAAAGCAGAAGTGTATTTGAGCAGACTAGCTCCACTGCAACTTCTGAACAGCGAGGGTAGGCCAACGGCCGCGGTGCGCTCAAACTTGAAGGCCTAAACGTGTCCCGACCCAGTGCTCCAGGGCCAGCTGGGCTGAGAACGTGCTGTGCGTGTGAACACGCAGAGGGGACGACGGCACGAGGGCACGGAGCCCTGTGCTGACCCATGCCCGTACAGATGCCCCCTCTCTCAAACCTCATAGTGGCTCTGTGATGTGGGGATTATTACTCAACGAAAGCCTTTTTGGTTGAAGTGTAATCGACATACAACACTACACTGGTTTCGGGTGTACAATGTACTGCTTCAACAATTCTATGCCTTTCTTGGTGGTCACCATGGAAGTACCATGTGGGGTCACCACCTGAGGTTGGGGTTATCATTAGCTCCATTTCATGGACGAGCTTGGAGTTCGGGGGATGGTTAAGGTGGCAGGTGCCGGGTACGTGCAGAGGCAGTGCCTGAGCTCCATGGAAGGATGCTACAGAATCCTTCCTTCACTGTTGAGGGGATCCTTTTCAGCCTGCTCTCCATTGTATTCTAGGAAAACTGAACTCCACGGGCCTCCTCCCAGAATTCTAGAGATTAGCCCTAAAAGTGCAAGTCTTCGTATGTCACAGAGGGAGTCTTGGAAAGATGTGGAGGTAGAAGCCGTTCTGCATTATGAAACTGCCTTCGGCTCAGGGTGTGATCCTGGGATCTGGGATTGAGTCCCGCATCAGGTTCCCTGCAGGGAGCCTGCTTCTCCCTCTGTGTCTCTGCCTCTCTGTGTCTCACAAATAAAGATCTAAAAAAAAAAAAAAAAAGGAGTATCAATCTGCTGGGCATCTGGGTGGCTCAGTCAGTTGAGTTGTGATTAGTCTGATTAGTCTGCCTTCAGCTCAGGTCATGATCTCAGGGTGCCTGGGATCAAGCCCTGCGTCGGGGTCCCCACTTGGCAGGGGTTGGGGTGGGGAGCCTTCTCCCTCTTTCTCTCTCCCCCTGCTTGTGCTTTCTCTCTCCCTCTTAAATAAAGAAAATCTTAAAAAAAAAAATAGCAATTTGCTGTGCAAAACGAAGATCTGTATGATTTTAATGGTTACTTTTTGTTTTCTATTAATATAATCTGCTCTTGCAAGTGTTATTTGAATACTGAGATTTGTAAGTAACCCACGACTTTAGAAATTTTTGCTGCACCTCATAAAAACTACCTCTGAAAGAAACTGTCCAATTGTTGCTATGGGTTCAACAGCAGGCCCCACCTCCAAAAAGGATGCTGAAGGCATACCTACCTGTACTTTTGAATGTGACCTTACTTCCAAAAAAGGATGCAGATGAACAAGTTAAAGTGACATCACTAGGGTGGGCCCTAACCCAACACAATGGGCTCCTTATAAGAAGGGAACCCTTCGACATGGAGAGACATACACAGGAACTTCACCTGAGGCTACCCGAAGCTGGAAGAGGCACGGAAGTCTCCCCAAAGCCCTGACAAGGAGCCAACCTTGCTGACATCTCAGACTTCTGGTTTCCAGAGCTGTGATAGGAGAAATTCTCTTGCTTTGGCCCCCAGTTTATTGGGGGCAGCCCCAGGAAACTCATACAGCGGTCTAGAAAATAACGGAGCAATCACTGTATCTCATCAGAAAGGTTTGTTCACTCAAGACAGGATCACCAGCACGTTTCTCCTCTCCCGCATGCACAATGGAAACATTAAAACTCTTGCCCAGCTCAAGTGTGTTTCGTAGAAAAGGACGGCCCTGCTCTGATGACATTCTTCCTCCACACCGCCGCTGCACACAGGCACATAGGGTGTCAACTACCCGTTTCTTTTTCTTCTGTGGCCTCTGCTCGCTCTCTACTGGCTGCTCTTTTCATTATTCCCTTTTAAAAATTAGTAGGTTTTAGATGTTGCAAATATTTTTCATGTATCTTTGCTTTTTATTTTAAGATTTTATTTATTCATGAGAGACACACAGAGGCAGAGACACAGGCAGAGGGAGAAGCAGGCTCCCTGCGGAGAACCCGATGTGGGACTCGATCCCAGGACCCCAGGGTCACACCCTGAGCCAAAGGCAGACGCTCAACTGCCGAGCCACCCAGGCGCCCCATTCGCTCACTTTTTAAAACAACAATACCTAAAATTCCATATGTATTTGAGATTTTCACGAGGGCAAATATATTGACTTTTTCTTTTATGCCTTTTGAATTTTCTGTAGTGCTCAGGAAGGCTTTCTCCATTCTGAGATCATGACAATCCTCCATCTTTCACCCAGTATTTTTATAGTTTCATTTCTTGTTTAGGAATCAGGCTTCATGTTTTCCCTGATGAACAGCTAGTTGATCTAGCACCACTGACTGGCAGATACCACCCCTCCCGCTGATGTGGAATGCCACTTTTAACATAAATCCTTAAAGGCACAGAGGTCAGTTTCTGGCGTATTCTGACTCCACGTGCCTTTCTTCAGCAACAGGCACAGAAATACAGGTGCCGGCATTCTGCACGGCCAGATGGTGGCCCCTGGAGGACACACATGCAGACTGCCCCCTGGGGGCTACCCCTGAGCTCCAGTTCTTTGCTGCCACGCAAAGATGCAGGCCTGGTATTGCCAGCTCTTGTAAGTTTTCAAGAGGTATATGTGAAATCTCATTTTTTTTTAAACTAAAGATTTATTCATTTATTCATGAGAGACACAGAGAGAGGCAGAGACACAGGCAGAGGGAGATGCAGGCTCCCCTAACGGAAGCTTGATATGGGGACTTGATCCCAGGACCCCGGGGTCATGTCCTGAGCCAAAGGCAGATGCTCAACCGTTTAGCCACCCAGGCGTCCCTGTGAAATCTCATTTTGAGACTGATGGCAATAATTTTTCTAATTGCACACAAAAGCTGAAAGCAGTTGGTGGTGCACAGGTAGGCCTCTGAACAGATGCTGACAGGGAGGGTTAAGGCCACACTGGATCTTGGAGCCCACCACTCTCTCCCACCACCAAAATTAAGAAGTAAAAGGGGGAGGAAGAGTGGCAACAGCGCAGCTCGGGAAACCTGGGTTATTTGTCGCCCCCTCCCTGGGGAAGACAGGGATGCTGTGCCCCATCTTACCTCTCACCCACAAGGGTCAATGATGGGCTTCCTGGTTGGCCTGGCAACTAGGAGATGCTAGGTCAGCATGAGGGTAACATGGGTCAAGCCAGGCCTCCCAGACCCTGCCAGGGTGAGTGACAAAGGAGCAATGCCAGGAGTGAGGTCCTGGCCAAGTATGGAGCAAGATTCTGCTCCCCGAAACAAGCTGGAAAGTGCATGCCTCCTTTCTAACAATAATGCAGCCTTCCTGGATACCCAACTTAACAGTTTAACCAGGAAAGGAAGGACCGAGGCCTTCAGCTTTCATGTGTGTGTGTGTGTGGGGGGGGATGGGATTTGCTGGTAGCAAAGACAACTCACATGATAGAACTTGAGTTTAGAGAAGCTCCTCCACACACATTCCCTCATTGGTCTCACAATGCTGTGAGGCAGGCAGTGTCTCCCCTTCTGCAGGTAGGGGTAGGTACTGCCCTTTACAGAGGAGGAAACCAGCTCTAGGGGCAATTCAGATGGGCTCCGGATAGTTCCAGAATATGCAGGAAAGGTACATGGAGAACACAGACTGTAGGCCCCTCTCGTTTCCGGTGTCCTCCTCTGCAGACTCATTCCCACAACAAATCCTTACTGAACACCTCTGATGGATTAGGCATTCGTCTGGGCCTTGGGAGCACAGCAGTACACAGATGCAAGGCATTAGCCTTCTCCTTGGCTAGGTCAGTTTTCCTCACTCTGAATCATGACCCTGACTGGCCCTTGCTCTGTTCTTCTCTGGCCAATGTTTGCACTTTGCTCCACAGTCCCTGGCTACTGGTCATTTCCTAGAATGTACTGACTTGTTCCAGAAAGACATGCTTTTCTATTCTTGAGGCAGAGACACCTGGCAGACTCAGACCCAAATTCCATTCCTGACTTCATTCTGATCAACTTTTCAAATATGTTTCAGGCAAGTCCCACAATTCCCTATCCATGCTGTTCTGAGAGCATGGAGGGCACACATGGTTTTCCTTGAAGCAGGAAATAGAGCTGAGATGCTGAGGTGGCCAGTCTCCAGGGTATGTTGGAGCAACCTCTTTTCTCATTACTTGTTCTTCATCTACATCTTTTGCCCTGATGCCCCCATCTTCTGGGACATTGTCAGAGGAGCACGCTTAAGACCCCATTGGTTCATGTTCTGCAGGCAAACATACACTTCTTAACTGCAGTTGGTAGAACTCTGTCCCCCAGAAAGCTACATCCAAGTCCAAACCCCCAATACCTGTGAATCTGACCTCACCTGGAAAAAGGGTCTTTGCAAATATAATTAAGGTGAGGCTCTCGAGATGAGATCATCCTTGATTGAGGTGGGCCTTAAACCCAGTGACACAGATTTGGTATCCAACGGTGTCCTTGTAAAAGACAAAGGAGAACACACACAGTCAAGGAAGGGAGGCCATGTAAAGACCCACACAAAGATGAGGCAGAGACTGGACTTATTTTACAAGCTAAGGTACACCAAGGGTTGCCAGGAGCCACCAGAGAAAGGAGAGACACATCGAATAGATTCTTCCTCAGAGCCTCCAGAAGGAAGAGACCCTGCTGATATACTGATTCTGAACTTTTGGCCTCTAGAATGGTGAGAGAATAAATTCCTATTGTTTTAGGTTGCCAGGTTTGTGAACATTTGTTATGGAGGCCCGAGGTCCCAAACCTGACCTGGTTTTCCCCAGTCCTTTGAGCAAGGACTGCCACGGACAATATGACCAACCAGAGGGCAGCCTTCATATCCCTTTCCCTGGGGAGTATGGCACCAGTTCCCACATGGCTGTGCAGGGCCCACGGATGCCATGGATGCCCACTCAGCAGGTGCCCTCTCACCAGCAGAAGAGACCCGGGGCCCCCTGTGAGGTGCTGGGTTCTGCAGCTTCTGGAGCAGTGGGATCGAGGTCCTCATCCATATCAGATCGGTCTGCCCCAACCTCAGCCCTTTCTTCCTGCCTGACCCAAAGGCTACTTTCTAGCTGTTCTTCAGCAAGTTCCAGCTCTTCCTCTGTTTGTAAAACGGCCACAGTTTCCCGGGGTAAGTGTGATGAATACAGCCCGAGTTTGGCCTTAAAACCAAACATCGCTTCATATGGACTCTGCTGTAAGGAAACGTCAAACAGCTGATTCTTCACCATCTGCATGAATCTCAGGCCTTCGGCCCAGCGACGTGAGCGGTTACTCTGCATCCAGGCATTTACCATGTTCTTAACATCATGGCTTGCTCGCTCCAGGGAGCCTGGGCCTTGGCCAGGGTGGTGCTTACCACAGACAATCTTTAGGTCCGGCCATACCTCATTGAGCTCATGAACAACCTGGTTTGTGAACTCTACGCCACTGCCAGATTCTAACATCCTAGGTGTACCAAGAATTGTGAAGATATCCAATAGGACACTGACCACCTCATGAGCCTGTTTCGCTTTTAGTGGCCGTAAAATAATAAACTTGGTCAAGTGGTCCTGGTAATATAAAATAAACTTGAACTCACCATCAGCATTTGACTGCATGTCAAGTACTTCAATCTGGCATCTGGAGTCAACGTCCTTAAAAGTCATGGGCTTGGGGGCAAGACCTCTCTTAGGTGCTGGGTTCTTCTGGTGACATTGTTTACACAGTGTCAGATACAAGACAATGACTTCTTTGGTGACATTGCCGTATTTTCCTTGTAGCTCCTTGAGCATGCGTGTCCGCCCTCCATGTCCAATACTGAGATGCGTATCATGGAGAATATCAAACAACTCTTCCTTATGCACGTAATACCGTATTCGATCATGTTCTCCATGAGTAGCTTCTATTAGTCTCTCTGTGCCTTGCACGGAGATCACGTCGTATTTTGCTGCACGGCGGTAGTCACGTGATGACTTCTTTCCCTTCTCCTTAGCTTCTTTGACTTCCTTTATTGTTTGAAAGTACTTTTCTTTGGAAAATACCTTGCTGTTGTAACTTTTGCTTTCTACTAACTTTGTCACGCTTATGAGAAACTTTTCTCTCATGTTATGTATCTCCATTTCCGTATCACTTGCATTGGAAATGCCAGAGGGGTTACTTCCAGCTTTCTGGGGCATCATGGAGAACTGCAAGAAGGAGTCTAAGAAGAGGAGAGAGAAACCACGTTAAAAATCACTGCTATTCCATATGGAAGACTTTCCCTACAAAGTTCCTCACTCTTTCATCTGATTTTTGAAGATTACTACATAAAAGAAAGATAACAGAGTAAGAGTACAAGGCAGTAACAGAAAGCAACTAGAAAGCCAGCTAAGATCACCCAAACCAGAGCATGTCAAAAGAATTTTAAATCAGCAAGATACATATACAAAGATGCAGTAATTTTAGACTTTAGGCAAACAGAATAAATCAAACTGTTAGCTCATAAAGCAAAGACTAACTGGTCTTTATTAACTGAATAGGAGAGAGGATAAATGGAAATGCTTAAGGAATTAGACTAATATCCTCCTTCAGTAACTTTTAAAATATAAATGGGAGAATGTTGCTGGAAGGAACACATGATAACAGCAAACTCTGAACTTGAAGTTAGCACCAGGGAGGGCTTTTTAGCCTTCCCACAATCAACATAACCATTTCTTGTGGCTGAAGAGTCTGTCCCCATTTTAGGAGAATCAAGGAGAAAAGTGGTAGGAAATTTTTGAATGATGGTTTTCCCTGTTGACTGTACAGAGGATTAGTGAATGAAGATTCTGAGTCCTTACCCTCAGGGACCACGTTCTCATAACTATCTAACATCTTCCCCTGCAGTAGTCTTTCCCAGAGGCTTCTGAATACTTCCAATCTTTGGTCATATCCTCAAATGTCACTACCTCTTGAGATGACACCAGCTGCTGCCACAGGAACCATTCTTGGGGCCTGGGCTACAGAACAGCTAGCTATAGCAGGACTTGGGGAGAGACAGTGGAAGGTACCAGGAATGGAGGCATGCCAGCATAAACGGCTCAGAATATGAGTCATGGGAATATTATAAGGAAGATAACAGAAGTAAAGAAATGCTCTCCAATCCAACAGATGAGTCCAGCTTTGCGGGTGAGGAAAACAAGTTTTGGTCTCCTGGGAGATCTACAGGCCCAGACTGTTTTGACACTGCCTGAGCTGAGGCCCACGTATTTCCGGAACAAAGCAGAGAGTCCAAGTGAACTTGGGTATTCCAAGACTGGGAGACACTTTTGGGTACAGGCTTGATGGCTCTGAAGAGAGGCAGCAGGGTTTGTTTCCAGAAATGGAAAAATTGCACCTATGTGCAGAGAGATTTGTCAGCAGAGTATCATGCCAAAAAGAGGTATGCCAAATGGTCCACACTCCACCATGATTGGAGAATTCTGCAGGGAGAGAATCTGACACTCAACTGAGATTTCTTGGAACTCCCAGTTATAGGATGGTGATGCGGCCCCAGGAAGAATTCACATGATGAAAACAGGAGTTAACAACAATCTGAGGAAAACAAGATCCCTGGGATCCCAGCCATCAAATGTAGAGCCGAGGGGCAGAGCAGAATCCTGAAAAGCAAAGAAAGATGAAAAGGTTTCAAAGCTCTGAGTCTTAGTTAAGCTGGGGTCCTGAAGGTTCTCCACTAAAAAGGCTTTTTTTTTTTTTTTTTTTTTTAATTTATCGAAGATACAGAGAGGCAGAAACATAGGCAGAGGGAGAAGCAGGCTCCACACAGGGAGCCCGACGTGGGACTCGATCCCAAGACTCCAGGATCACACCCTGGGCTGAAGGCGGCACTAAACTGTTGAGCCACCGGGGCTGCCCCTAAAAAGGCTTCAAACTCTTTTGCTCACCATCACTAGTTGACCATAGAATATTCCTGATTCTAAGACATTATTGACTATAAAACAGTTGACTTACTGATGACTTTGAGGGGAAAAAACAGAATCTATATTAAACGAACACATCCAAATTACTATATGAAGGCAACACACATTTTAGTATTAAAGAAATAGAATGTTTGCAAATGCTGTTTAAGTCTGAGCTTAAGATCCTCAGTGCAGGGGCACCAGAGTGGCTCAGTGGTTGAGCGGCTGCCTTCAGCTCAGGTGGTGATCAGGGAATCCTGGGATGGAGTCCGCATCGCTTCTCCCTCTGCTTGGGTCTCTGCCTTTCTCTGTCTCCCATGAATAAATAAAATCAAATCTCAAAAAAAAAAAAAAAAAAAGAGAGAGAGAGAGAGAGAAAGAACTGCATTGAGCTTACTGGTGCGATCTGTGACGTGAGGTAACTGATAAATGACCTTGGTTGGAGGAAACTGGAAACATCTCAGTTCCTCACCTACCTGTGAGTCCTCGCTTCAGCGTCCCAGACCTGGAATGTCCTTCATTGATCTCGCGAATCCCTGCCCAGCTCAACTCAGCCGCCTTCCTGATGCAATCAGCGGCTCGAGCTGACTGCCACCTCTCCCTCCTCCGGAGAGCCCGAGCCACCCACTGGAGCGCTCTGCTTTGCATTTGCAGTCGACTGGTTCAGGTGGACACAACCCAGCAGGTAGGGGCTGAGCCATTTACCCAGCCGTATTCCCTCAGAGGGCCGAGGGGTTCAGAGCTGAGACAGAAGATGCTCAGAGGATGTGAGGCAGGCACTTCCCGTACAGGTGCGTACAGGTGCAGCGCGCCAGGCCGTGCGCGGGGACGACAGAGTGGCGGCTTGGGTATTCCACTTCCGACTCTAGCACCGACTGCGTGCCTGCCTCGGGCAGCTTCTGAGGCTTCAGCTCCCTAACCACAACAGGGGGAGGTACCGGTCGGCCTGATGAAGAAGCGTGGAAAAGGCAGATGAAGCACTGAGCACCGCTTCCCCGCACCTGCCGACAGACACTCCGCCAGCTCCCGGAGACCTGCTGCGGGCGCCACCTCCCCTGCGTAGCCTTCCTCCCTGCACCCCCGCGGGGCGCGGCCACACCCCCTCTCCTGCGAGGGCCTGCAGCTCCGAGGCCGGGGGTAGGCAAGGAGGGCCGGCGGCCCCCGAACCCGGGCCGGTCGGCAGTCGGACGAGGGAGGCCCGGGCAGTGAGGGTAGGTGCGCCGGGGGCCGCAGCGTCGGGGCCTGTCCCCCGCCCCCACCCGCGGGCCCGCGTCCAGCCGCCGCCACACCTCCCGCCGGCGCCGGCGCCGGCGCTCCCAGGCAGCTCGCACCGGAAGCCGCTTGGCGCCGGCCGGAAGCCCCGCCCCCGACGCCGCGGGCCGCCAGGCGCCCTGTCCTGCTCCGGACCGGGTTCCGCGCGGGCCGTGCGCCGCCTGTCGTTTGGCGGTCTGGGGTACCAGCGGCCGGTCTGCGTGACCTGGGCAGGGCGAGCCACCAAGCCCGGACCCCCGCGGCAGGACCAGTGATTCCCCGTCGTTGTGGCAAAGCCTGCAGCCTGGAAAATAGGAAAGTAAGCTGCATTCGTCATTCTGCACCTAGAAGCTTCACCAAGGGAAGGCAGAAGCGCACGTGCCGTCCGTTTAAAATGAACATTCCTGGGCAGCCCTAGTGGCCCAGCGGTTAAGCGCCGCCTTCGGCCCGGGGTGTGATCCTGAATACCCAGGATAGAGTCCCACATCGAGCTCCCTCCATGGAGCCTGCTTCTGCCTCTGCCTGTGTCTCTGCCTGTCATGAGTAAATAAAATCTTAAAAAAATAAATAAAACGAACATTACTTCAAAGTGCAGTCTCAGCACTTCTTCTGAGACTGCCACTCCTCGGAGCAGCACCAGCACAAACAAGACGGTAAGGGGGGCGGGGCAGTGGTCCAGGCACTCCTGGAAATCAGCAGCTCCTGCTCCACACAAGCCTTAGCCCACCGGCAAGACTGAACATACACACTGTATGCACATCTAGTCGCAGCCCAGCAGCAGTGAGACAGAACCCGTTCAGGAGACACAGGACCCCACAGGGCTTTTTCTCTGGGAGCCAGAGTGCCCCCCAAATACTGCCTGCTTCGAAAGGGGGGAACCCCCACTACCTATCAGTCCTGATTCCAAGACTGTGTTAATCTCGATTACTCAAGAGCTGATGCTCAAATGGAAAACCCACTCTACTTGGTCAAGCCACAGGACAGGGTGGCCTGCCTCCAGGTGGCAAACCCACTCACTGGGAGGGAGGATTCTTCCCCAAGCACCACACAGAAAGCAAAGGCTCTTCATTTTAAGTTTTTATTTAAAGTCACATATAAGGTTACTTTACTCCTGCATCTTCTCAATGGTTTCTTCCTTATATTTGCCCTTTTCCTTTCCTACTTGGCGAGATTTGGCTTTACGCTCAAGGATCTTTTTGCGGTCTTTGTCCAGTTTTAGTCTAGTGATAACCACCTGCAGAAAAATAAAACACGTCTAAGCTTTCAACAGTTATCAGCTTCTCAAATTACCAAGTCAGACACACGTTTGTTTCTATTGTAATTTGAGGATCATTAAGTTGGAACAGAGATGTAGCTTCAACCCACAAAACCACAGTACAGATGCTGTGACAAATCTGTTAGAGGCCTCCAGATGATGGTAAATTCAGGTCTTCTGAAGGAAGGTGAGGAAAAGGATAAGGGGGCACTGAACCAATACAGGTCTGGGAACCTGAACCGAAAGGAAAATCTCTGCCATCAGAGAGCTTGTATTTCCGCAAACCAATCCAGTGGATGCACACCAGACTTTGATATACAGAAAAACAGGGCAATATGGGGACGCTAAGGACTGCTGCCAAGCAGGGGCTAAATCCTATAGGGTATTAAACGAAGCCCTATTGACAAGGCTACATACAGACACCTGAAACCTTGAACACAGGATAGTGAGAGACATCAGACCATAAGTACTGTATGATGTCACTAATAGGTGGAAATTGTAAAGTCAAACTTGTGAAAACAAGAATATGGTCAGCAAGAGATGGGGGACAGGACAGATGTTAAGGGTATGAACTTACAGTACAGTAGCGATACATACACAATATTGTATCATAATCACCAAGCTTGCTAAGATACTTATATAGCACATTAGAAGTGTGAATTATCCCTACAATGCCAATCCTTTTATATACAAATCTATTGAACATCTTACACACCTTTAATTTACACATTATGTCAAATGTATTTCTGTAATAGGAAACATGGGGCACTTGGGTGGCTGTGTTTAAATGTCTGCCTTTGGCTCAGGTCATGATCTTTCCAGGTCCTAAGATGGAGCTCCATGTCTGGCTCCCTGCTCAGTGGGGAGTCTGCTCCTCCCTCTACCAAAGACATAAATAAAATCTCAAAAAAAAAAAAAAAAAGACAAATACCTGAAAAGAAAGGAATACCTAAAGAAAGTGAAGAGTTGCTTTGGTAAAAATTACAGCAAGTACAAAGGTGCAGGGGCAGAACAACTTGGAAGTTTTACAGGTTGTGCTTCTTAATTTTAAGTGTGCCTAAGAATCAGAGAGCTTCTTCTTTTTTTTTTTTTTTTTTTTAAGAGAGCTTCTTAACATAGATCCCTGGACCCTGCCCCCTGTCCCCAGTAGAGCTGGGAACAGAATGTGGAATCTACCAGGTGGGCCAGGTGATGCTAACAGAGGACACACCACGATTAGCATGGCTGGAGGAGGAGCCAGGAGGCCAGTAGACCAAGTCATGAAAAGAGGACATCTACAAGTGGTTGGTGAGGGGATCAAGTAAGACCTTGCAGGCCACTTTGATGGGAACAGATGGGATTCTGGATATAACCTGACAGCAGCTAAGGGGGTGGGGATGAGTGGAGACAAGCTGCCATACAAGGTGAGCATGGCAAATAGTGAACAAATTCAGAAGTCTGAACATATTAGGTTTGCGGTTATCAATTAGAAATCCAAGAAGGCAAAATAAGCAATTGGGTATTGATATTTGGGTTGGAGTCATCAGCCTTTAGAGGTCTGAAGTCCTCAGAATGAAATATAACAGATGAGGACTGAGCCACAGTGAAGGCAATGTTATATCCTACGCCGTGCTGTCTTAAAAAGACGATGAATGTATCCTTGGATTGGTGACCAGGACAACAGCCTATCTACTGGTGGACCAAATATAAGACTGGTGATGCCTAGAAAATGGCCCAATTCCTTGCTCTCAGGAGACACACACTAGAAGAATTAAAGGGAAGGGTCATCACGCTTGTAATCCTTTGGGGATAGGGCAGGGGGGTAAGGACCATGGGAAAATGCTAGTAGTGAATTCCAGCTCAAAGAGATGCAGGAATTTTGCTCCATCAACCCTTCAACTTTTCTGTAGTTTGAAAAAACAGATTTATGGCAGCACCAGAAGATCTTTTAAAAATTGTTAGAAAAAAACTTAAGAGACTGCAATATCAGAGAATTCACATTCAAGCCTCAGACAGGCACCTACTATGACAGACCAAGAATCTCTATCCTTGCTCAAACACTACCACTATCGATGAGATCTTAGCTTGGGGGCTTCGGTTTTCCCATTTGTAATGGCTTAATACTTTGCAGGGTTATAAAGTTGCCATACTACTTACTTGGCTTTATCTATTTATTTTTTAAATATTTGTTTTAGGAGGGGAGGGAGGGAGGGAAAAAGGAATCTCAATCTGACTGTGCCGAGTAGGGAGCCCCACAGGGAGGCTCAATCCCAGAATCCTGAGATCATGACCTGAGCCAAAACCAAGAGTCGAACGTTTAACCCACTGAGCCACCCAGGCACCCCTGCTTATTCAACAGGGTATCAGCTCCATTTACTAGAAAAATTACTGCATTTCCGAGATTTTAAGATTTGTTCACTGTGACTTTTGATGAAAAAATACATAAAATAAACACGATGACTATTAAAGACCCCTCGATTTGAAAAAATTTCCAGAACTCCATTCAAATACTGTATGTTTAAGACTAGTTCCTAGCATGGCAAGCCGTGCCCACATTGGGATGTTGGTTGGACAGGGTCCGGTGTGGAGAGCCCCTTACCAAAAACCGCTTGGTCAGAAAAGGGGCTACCCCTTTGCCAGTCAAGCAACACAGGGTCATGGAGAACCTGGTCCTAAACCACTCAGACATCCTGCTTCTGGGTTGGGGTCTTGAATGTAGCAGAGTGGCTCCCTTCCTGTGATCTACTGAAAGTCCGCCCTTGACACAAGGGTTTGTAAAAGATAAAAAGAAAAAAAAAATACTGCGTTCTAGAACCTCTAAAATCAGGGATTCTATTTCTTTGGGAAGGCTCTGCAAACAAGCTATCACATTTGCTAACACTTCCGGGAACTTCTCTACCCTCGAGCATTCTCAATAATACCTACCTTGCTAGGGTGAATGCCCACGTGGACAGTTGTGCCATTTGCCTTCTCTCGCTGTACTCGTTCAATGTAGATGACATACTTCTTCCTGTAAACCTGGACTACTTTGCCGATTTGCTGACCTTTGTAATGTCCCCGCACAACCTAAATTAAAAAAACAACCCAGAAATATTAAGATTAACCTTGTGAACCAAGAAAGCTACAAATCATATAAACATCACTCTATCAGATCTACAAGACCTTTCAATCTTGAAAGACTTAACAGTTAATGGAAACGTGCCAGTAATTCTCCCTGGCTTTAACCTGCAAATAAACCAAAGTATAGTGATGGACAGCGCATCCATCAACTGGTGGTCAATAAGCAGCAGTGGGCTAGGTAAAAGGTTAAAAACGAGCACACTTCAGCTTTTCATAGCAGGTTGGTAACAAGGAGCTTTTACTTCATCTCGAAGGAAGCAAGAGGCCATAAGATTAAATCCACAACCCATTCAAGCGTCCAACTCAGTGCCAGACCGGCAGCAGCAAATACGTATGGGAACCAATTCTTTCCCAAAGTTTCAGTTTCCTACCCAGGAGTCCTAGTGATCACATTTCTCAGGCAGCAACACAAACTGCTTCTGCACAGATGGTTCTTTACAGCTGCAGATTTTCTCCCATTAAGAGATCTGGAAAACAGACTACCTCCCGCATCCACTGGCAATCCTGGCACCAGCACAGTAGCAACCAGTGGCTGTTCTCAACCCACACCACTATCTGAGGACGTTTTTTTTTTTTTTTATTTAAATGGGCGTTAACCTCATCCAATAATACTGGGGACAGGCAAGCTGCTTTAGAGACTTGCCTGAATCTTATCAACAGCAGCTGCAGGTTACAGCTAAGAAAACACAGAGATCTTCACTTAAATTGATTTGATGAATTATTTACTAGTAAACGTAATACCACCACGTAAAACTATGGTTCAGTTAGGGCTTCTGCATCTGGGTTCTGATTCAGACAGACTTCTGTATATTGTCCTCAAATGCATCTTTGGTGACCAACCACACCAAGAAAAAGCTCATCACAAAGTAATGTCCTGGGGCAGGCCGCCTGCGTGGCTCAGTGGTTGAGTGTTGGCTTTTGGCTTCAGGCATGATCCCAGGATTGAGTCCCACACTGGGCTCCTTGCATGGAGGCTATATCCCCCGCTCTCTCAAGAATAAAATCTTAAAAAAAAGGGGGGGGGCAATGCCCTGGCTCTGAATCATTTCTCCTCTTCTGATTAATTATGTCCACATTGTGATGTTTGGAACAATCAATACTTTTTCCTGTTAGATTTTCTAAGATTTTATTTATTTAAGAGCGCCAGCGAGACAGTACAAGCAGGGTGAGGGTCAGAGGGAGAAGCAGACTCCCAGATGAGCAGGGTGTAGGACATAAGCCTTGATCCCAGGACCCGGAGATCATGACCTGAGCTGGAAGGCAGACACTTCACCGACTGAGCCACCTGGGTGCCCCCCACCTCCCGTTTCATTTTTCAGTTTCCTGTTGCAACCCTGCTCTGGTGCATCATTCCCCGAACACAATCCCTCTTCCAGGCCAGATGTGCAGAACATCCGCCAGGATGACCCGTATCACTGCACCCACTTGCACTTCGTCATCCTTCCGGATGGGCATGGACCGCACGTTGTACTTCTGCCTCAACTCTTTGGAAAGCGGGGAAGACATGATCTTCCTGCGAATGTGGGAAGGCGCATTGAAATGCCGCTTACGATTCTTGCTCCGGTCAGAAGTCACAAACGGATTGAACTTCATGTTGGCTGCAGAGAAAAAGCAAAAGACGCGTTAAAAACCCTTAAAATGATTGCACGATGTCGTCCGGTTTCCAGACAGGTCACAGCAACAACGTCACCTTGAGAGGGTGAGCAAGCCCAGGACACGGTCACGTTCTCCCGGGATGCTTCCTCCACAAACATACCCGTTCTAGGTCACACCCTCCGAACCTCCGAAATCCCGGCGGAGGAAGTGAAGACAATTCGCACCTCCATGCGTGAGAGCAAACCGGACCCACAAACTCAGTCACTCAACTAGCACGTCACGCTTTGCAAAGACCAACAACGTCCACACGCTGTGAACTCGAGTGAGAGGACACTGAGCTCCCGACAAAGTGCAGCGTTTCTTCCGTCCCCAAACCTGGGAAATCCCGGGTCCCAAAAGCCGCCTCTCGGGCAAGCGCGGCCTGGAAGGCCCCCCGGCTTCAACAGAAAGCTATTCCGAGACTATTCTTTAAGAAACGACGCCGACTAGACTTCTCTCCATCCGCCGATGCCGAGTTCTTAAATCCCCTCTCCCCGTCCCTTCCCGAGTCCGGCGGCCCTCGAGCTAGCGGGAAAGCAGGTCCAGATCATCCTAGCCCCTCTCCCTGGGTGCTATTCGTTCGCCGGAAGAGTATCGGGCTTCGGGGGTCAAAAGACACTGCGCCCGCGAAAGGATGGCCGCGGATTGCTCGCGCTCGCATCGCCAAAACTCACCTGCGAGCGCCCCAGCGATGGCCGCAGAAGGGAAGAGAGCCACACGCTACTTCCGGTTCTGTAAGTTTACGAGAGATCTCGCGAGACCGATCATCGCCAGGAGCGAGAGAGGCGCGGGATTTGAATGACAAGAGGAAGCTGGGAAAGAAATGGATGACTAGTGCCCCCCGCGGCCTGGAGGGGAACTGCAAGGAGCTGCAAAACCTCGTCTTTCAGACCCTGGTGCCTCCCTGCGCAGGTCCGGGAAGGGTCGTTCCCGGGCAGGTGGCAGGAGCTGCTCAGAGCGTCACTGTCCCCCCGTGCGTGGTGAGGGAGCGGGCGCCCCCTTCTCCGAGAAAGGGCAGGTTGTAGTAGCGGCCGCCAGGTGACGCTGGGCCTGCGGCCGCGGGTCACCTGGGTTCCGTGGACACCGAGCTCGCCAGCCCTTCGATGAGGGGCCATGGGGTGGGGGTGGGGGTGGGGGTGGGGCCCGCGGTGGGGCCCGCAGTGGGGCCCGCCCCGCCCCGCCCCGCTCCACCCCAGATTCGGCTGCAGTCACACACCCGCCTTGCGAGGGTGGGGACCCGCGATCCTTCCTTCCCTCGTCCCAACCCCCGCGCGGGGAGGCCTGAACCTGCGTTTCTAACGAGCTCGCAGGTGACGGATGTCCAGGGTGCAGGTCCGAGACCACACTTGGAAGGAGCCTTTGCAAGGGGAGAACAGTGCCCCTTTCTGAGTGTTACTGTCCGCTGTCATTCAGTTCAAGGTCTGGTGGAAGCAGGGCAAGGGGGTGTGCTGCCTGCAAACCGCTTCTGGGGCAGGCGGCAGTGCTTGGAGTTAACTCCTGCAGCTTGCCTGGCCGTGCAGCCGGTGGGGGATCCGTTTCCCTCGAATGAATAAAGCATTATCATTGAATGAATGATGCAGTGTCAAACTGATGGAAGACACGCATTTCATGGTCATAATAGGACGTAGTGAGCTTGCTGAGTCCTGGAGACACTTTTCCACTCACTCTACATTTCTAACTCCTATATATAGGAGTTAGAAATATATATATATATATATATATATATATATATATATATATATATTAGAAATATATATAGGAGTTAGAAAAAATATATATAGAAAAAATATATTTTTAAGATTTTATTTATTCATTCATGAGAAACAGAAAGAGAGAGAGGCAGACATAGACGGAGGGAGAAGCAGGCTCCTCACAGGCTCCTCACAGGCCAGATGCGGGGCTGGATCCCAGGATCCCCCCGGGATCACAATGGGCCAAAGGCAGACACTCAACCCCCGAGCCACCCTAGCATCTCTTTTAACTCCTTTAATCCACCAAATAACCTTGTGATGCTGGTACAGTATTATCGTTCCCACTGTACAGATGGGATCATTGAGTCACAGAGAAGTGAGAGGAACTTGTACCAATTAAGTTGAACCCATAGGTTATAGATGAACCCATGTAAGCTCTTTCCAGTCCCTTCCTGATTCGATCCCAATTTCTAGGACTCCATTAGGTCAAGTCAAAGAGTAAGGAACTTGGGGATGCCTGGGTGGCTCAGTGGTTTAGCACCTGCCTTCGGCCCAGGGCGTGATCCTGGAGTCCCGGGATGGAGTCCCACATCGGGGTCCCCGCAGGGAGCCTGCTTCTCCCTCTGCCTGTGTCTCTGTCTCTCTGTGTGTCTCTCATGAATAAATAAATAAAATAAAAAAAAAGAGTGAGGAAACATGTCTTTGAGGAGCCAGAGTTAAGTCAGTAAAGAACACAGGGTTTTCATGATTTAAAAAAGTTGTGTTTTAAATATACTGTCAACAGCCCCAGATTTTATTCTTAATTGAAAAATTCAGTGAGACTACCTCTATTGCAATTCTTTTTTTTTTAAATTTTTTAAAATGTAAACTCTACACCCAACATGGGGTTCAAACTCACCATGCCAAGATCAAGAGCCATATGCTCCAGGACTGAGCCAGCCAGGCGCCTCTGCAATTCTTTCCAACAAATGTTTATGGAGCATCTTTTGCATTCCATCCCTAAACTGGACACTGGACTTAAAAAATGAAATTAGTTAGAGCTTCTGCTTGCAGGAAGCTCATTGTCTAAAAGGAGAGATAAGCAGTGAAACTAGCATTCATGGGACCCCAGGAAAAGTGCTTTATGAGCTGGCTGCCCTTGGTGGGCTTTTTTTCTTCTTTTTGAAAGAGAGAGAGCACAGGGGGAGAGAGAGGAAGAGAATCTTAAGCAGGTTCCATGCTAAGCCCATTGCTGGGCTGGTTCTCATCATCCTGACATTATGACCCTGAGCTCATGACCTGGGCCGAAATGGAGAAGTGGCTGCTTAATGGACTGAGCCACCCAGGCGCCCCGCTTTTACTAGTTCTGTGCTTCAGGAATAGGAGAGCATTCTGGGGTCAGGGAAGACTTCTGGGGTGAGATTACTCTTGGCTGAGTTTTGAAGAATGTTAAAGTTAGCTTCATGAGGCAGTAGGAGTAGCTCTCAGGAAGGCTTGGAGCTGTGAAGCAGCATGACGTGTTGTCTCCCGGAGCTAGGTCCTTGTGGCTGGAGTGAGCAGCCTTCAGAGAAAAGCCCATGAGGCTCCCACCTGATCTGAATTTCATTTGGCAGCTGAAAGTTACAGGGAGATGCTCAAGGCACCTGCCTTCCTACCTTGTCTTCCTCTCTGGTCTTCACAGACTCATCCTCTCCCTTTTTGTTCTTATTAGATTCCCTAACCCCCTCTTTTCTTTCTTCCTTTTTAAGTGTTATTTATTTAAGTAATCTCTATGCCCAATGTGGGACTCGAACTCACAACCCCAAGATCAAGCATTGCATGCTCTTTTGATGGAGCCAGCTGGTTGCCCATTCACCTCCACTTCTTCGGGTCTCCCCTAGCCTCTTCCTCTCTTCCCACAAAGGCCCTCTCTGTTCTCTCATCATCCTCATCATTCTCTGCTGTTGCCCTTCCCTCTGGAGGCCTCCTTAGCTCCCTCTCCCCATGCAACACTGAGTCATTGAAATTAAACCTTCAGGCCACCATTTGGACAGCACAGCCACTTTGTGCGGTGCGAAGATTGCCAGGGTACAAATTGCATGCACAGATGCAAATTACTGGTGTCCTTGTTGTGAAGTCTGTTTACCTGCATAAATGTCTTGGATCAGCCCTGCATGATCCTCTGGCCACCTAGCCTGGCTGCCCCTCCACTTCCTTACATGTCTCTTACATGATTTGACAAAGGTCCTTTTATTTAATTTTTTAAAGATTTTATTTGTTTATTAGAAAGAGAGAGAGAGCACAAGCAGGGGGAGAGGGAGAAGCAGGCTCCCCGCTGAGCAGGGAGCCCAATGCGGGACTCCCTCCTGGGACACCGGGATCATGACCTGAGCCGAAGGCAGACGTTTAACCCACTGAGCCACCCAGGTAACGATGGTGGCTTTTAAATGGACTCTGTCAGGTTGTTTCGAGGCTGGTCTTTGCAAAGCCCTAAGACAAACTGGCTATTCAGATTCTACATCTACATCCCTTGGACTAAACTTTTTTTTTTCTAGACACCAAACCATCCCATTTCTTCCTTCCTTTCTCCCTGCTTGCCTGCCTTCACTCATGCATTCTTCAAAGATCTCTCCAACTCTTACTCTTTACCAAATCCTATGCCATGCAAGCTTCATATACAAAGACCAATAAGATACAAAGACCAGTGAGATCTAGCCTTCCTTGAAGGGGCACGGTGTCTAGAAGGAAGAAATGGCCCTGTCAACAAATGGGCATAACAGAGCATCCCTGGGAAGATGACGGGATGCAGTCCATTTTTTTTATATTAAAAATTATTTATTTATCTATTCATTCATTCATTCATTCATTCATTCATGAGAGGCACACAGAGAGAGACAGAGGGAGAAGCAGGCTTCCTGCAGGGAGCGTAATGTGGGACTCAATCCCAGGACCCCAGGGATCACACCCTGAGCTGAAGGCAGGTGCTCAACCACTGAGCCACCCAGGTGCCCCAGGATGCAGCCAATTCTAACTGAAGTTGGATGTGGTGAAATTTTTACAGGCAAACCCTTAAACTGTTTCTGGAAAGCTAGGTGAGAGTTTTTCAGGTAGACAAGAGGGGAAATATATTCCAGGTAGAGGGAGCCACCCGAGCAAAGGCCTCGAGTCCTACACCAACAGAACTTGTTGGATCTACAAATAGTTTGTGTTGCGAATCAGTTTGTACCAGGTAAGAGGAGGATGAGGGAAGTTGTGAGGATGAGGCCAGGTTATTCTGCCCCCTCCCCCAAAAAAAGGACATCTGGACTGATGAGGGTGTCAAAGGGAGAAGTGAAGAGACTCACAGGGCTGTCTGAGTCATTGCAGGCTTTGCTGAGGGTGGAGGTCATGGGATGGTATCTGAAGGGCACAGAGAGTCCTGGGAACCCTGGCCCAGGGCTCACCAGAAATGTATGGATCCTTACATTTAGCTCTGTAAGCTTATACTGTGCAAGTACGTATTAAAAGTAAAGGTTAGGGACGCATGGGTGGCTCAGCGGTTGAGCATCTGCCATCGGCTCAGGGCATAATCCAGGGATCCTGGGATCGAGTCCCGCATCGGGCTCCCCACAGGGAGCCTATTTCTCCCTCTGCCTCTCTCTGTGTGTCTCTCATGAATAAATAAAATCTTTTTTTAAATTTATTTTTTATTGGTGTTCAATTTACCAATGAATAAATAAAATCTTAAAAAAATTAAATTAAAGATTATTGTGAGAGGAGGTAGCAAAGTGTGTGTGCGTAATACCAGGCATTCATCCACCCGTCTATCTATTTATCTAATGGCATCTTTCTGGAGTGTCCTGACCTCAGGGTGGTTGCGTAAAGCAAAAGCTTATACTTGACAAAGGAAAAGAAGGCAGAGAAAAATCCAAAAGGGCACATTAAATGATCCGGCCCAAAGATGTCCATAGGAACTGAGAAACACTGAGTCAAATATGAAGCTTTTTTTTTTTTTACCTTCCTTCCTGTTAAGCAGGAGATGTCACACCTCTAACCAGACAAACCAGCCCTGCCAAACTGGTCGGTAGCTGACACTCTTGAGCTGCAGGACAGGTTCAGTTCAGGGGCAGTTCTTGAATGTTCTTGGGGCCAGCACCTCACGGAGCAACAAGTGTGGATGCTGAAAATATCCCTAGCATCGGATAGCATTTTTCAATTTAATTTTTGAATAAGTAGTACCTTTGCTTGTTTCAGAAAGTATCAAAGCGGGGGTGCCTGGGTGGCTCAGTGGGTTAGGCATCTGCCTCAGCTCAGATCATGGTCTCAGCGTCCTGGGATCAAGACCTGCATCTGGCTCCCTGCTCGGTGGACCATCTGCTTCTCCCTCTCTGCCTCTCCCCCTGCTCATGTTCTCTCTCACTCTCCAAAGAATTTTTTTTCTCCAAAGAATTTTTTTAAAAAGTATCAAAGGGAAGGAAAAATCACCCCCATCCTGTCCCATCAGTTATCATCCCCTTGCACAGTTAATCACCATGACTAGTTTTTTTGTGCGATCTTCTCAATTTCTTGATGCATAAATAAGCACATAGGAATGTGAGGGGCACCTGGGTGGCTCAGGGGTTGAGCATCTGTCTTTGGCTCAGGTTGTGATCCTGGGGTCCTGGGATTGAGTCCCACATCGGGCTCCTCACAGGGATCTTGCTTCTCCCTTTGCCTGTGTCTCTGCCTCTTTCTCTGTGTCTCTCATGAATAGATAAATAATATTTTTTAAAAAGCACACATAGGAATGTGAATTCTTACTCCCCCCACCCTTCCACAATGTTCCACACTGTGTTTTTCCCACTGGCCACCGTATCTTGGAGATATTCTGTGGCAATATCCACAAGTTGATCTAGAGGATCAACTTTCTAGGATAGGACTTTCTGGGTCAAAAGGTGGAAATGTTGATAGCTAATGTCAAATTTCCCTTCCCAGGGGTTTTACCCATATACATCCCACCACCGAACCTGCTTTCCTTCCTTTGGCGGCAGAGTGGGTTATGAGTCCTTCAGGGTTTGACAGGCTAACAGGTGAAAGTTGGGACACCTGTAGAAGTTTTAATTTGCATGTCTTTCACAAGTGTCACCGACTAGATGCTTAAGATCCATTTGCATTAGTCTTTTCTGAGCTCTTTCATCTAATGTGGATTATCCGGAAAATCCAAGCTCAGCGCTTTGCACGTGCATCGGTGATGTCTCTGCAATCTTTGAGAAAATATACATATACCTTTATTTATAAAATAGCCATTCGACATTCTCTGAAAATAAAAGAAGTGCCATCTGGGAGTCACCTCTGAACAATATGAAAACACTACAGGTATTGTGAAATCAACTTTTGGCAAATGCAATGGAATCTGAGAATCACATCCCCAGAAATTCATGACGTTGTTTAAAGCAGCCTGGCTGAGGTTAAAACAAGACTCATTGGAGTCTTTGTAAATTTAGCATTTTTAGTCCTATAATAAATATATTTCCCATGAACCCACCTGTATCCCTCCCCAAATAGCACCTATGTGCTTCTCTAGTCTTGAAAAGAGCATAAAGAAGACCATAAGTGTTTTCAATCAGCTCTCCATGTGTCCCAAATATCCCCTCTGGGGGGGAACCCCATTCCCCAGGGGTCCCCAAATGGACACCACTCTGGGGACTTGGGAACCAGAAAAGGCAGGGTGCTGTTTCTTTCCCCACCGACAGCGACCTTTGCCGAGGGAGGAATAGGTTGCAGGGGGACTTAGCTGCTGGCATGCCTGGCTTGTGAACAACCACCTGTTTGAGAGAGGATCTGGAAGTTTTTGTTGTTTTTAATTCAAAAATAAAGATCATGGCCCTTACTAAATAGAAAACAGCTGTCTGCAAGTGACTTGCCCCACAGGCAAGACCCAGTCTGAGGCTTCTTGAGTGGCCGTCCCCACGGAGCCCTAGCACTGCCCAGGGTGGGGTTGGCAGGAGCTGGGGTTCAGCGTTTGTTGAGACAGTGGCATCCCTGACAAGCACAGCTGTTTTCTTCCCCACCCATCCTTGCCCAGCTGGGAATCCGCCTAGGGAAACTGGCCCAGCTGGTGTGGCCTCTAATAAGTGGTTGGGTCATGAGGAGGAGGAGAAGGACCTGGGCTAGGAAGGAGTCGGGGGAGCCCCTAGGGGTTAATTTGCCCGCATAGCTCTCCGCTGACTCAAGTCTCGGCCTTCAGGCTCCCCCTGTGCTCCCGGCCCATCGGTCCATCCTTGGGAACTCCAGGATTCAAACTTTGGACCACTCCTTGGGCTTGGGAGGCTTGCAGAGACCTCTAGCCTCCACACCTGTGCCTTGATGTTGCCACATTCCCCAGGACGATGCTTTCCTGTCATGTCCCCCAGAGATCCTAGGCCACAGCCTCTGAGATCAGCTTCTTCACCAGCGAAGACCTTACAGGCTGGTGATTTGGGGGCAGGAAGGCATATGCTTGCCCAGCTGTAGGCTCATGGGTGGTTGCTGAGATCCTGGGAAAGGTGCTTTGACCCCTGAGCCACTCCTTCTGTTTGTTCCTGCGAGCCAGCTAGAGAAACCTGGGTGGGAACTCTGACCTGGACGAGTCCTGCCTTGGAGCCCCCGTCCAGCCACTATAGGGCCCCATCTGGCCCCACCTGGCTTCAGGTGGGTCACCTGGCAGATAGGGACCACACCTTAGGGCTGGTGACCCCATAGTACAAGGGGGACCACCTGTCTTCCCACCTTGCTCAGTTCCAGCCTGGAGGAGGGGGAAGTATCTGTTGAGGATAGCCCCCCATCCAGGGGGGGACATAGCTGTTGCTTCCAGAAAGGGTTGGCACCCCATTTTGTACCCTGGCCTGGAACATGGAGTTTGGGTTTGGGCCCAGAGCTCAGCTCCAGCCGCAGAGATCATCAGCCCCCAGCCTCCCCCCATGGAGCAGGTGGTGTGGGAGGTGGGGATGCCATCCAGGGTCCAGACTGCTGGCCCTGGGGTCTCGCCCCATCCAGGCCCCCCCTCTCCCCCACCAGCCACGCTCAGCCCAGGGTGGCGCTCAGGCCTGCTTCCTCACCAGCAGCACCCAGGGCAGGATGGCGGCCACCACAGCCACCACGGCGACGAGTGTGATGAGCAGCAGGGCCCGCGAGCGGCAGCAGAAGGCCCGGCCTGCGCTGGGGGCCGGTGACGCCTCAGACAGCTCGGCCAGGCTGCGGCGGGGCAGCACGCTGTCCTGCTCCCCCAGGGGCATCCCGTGGCGGCTGATGACAAAGACCTGGGGCTCCCGGACCAGGCCAGGTGGCGGGTCTGAGGGGGGCTGGGCGCCCTGGCTGGGGGCCGGCCTCCACACCTGGGGGTTCGTGTGGCCCAGGGCGTCGGGCAGGCCCATGGGCACGGCCAGGGTCTGCGAGCTCCGGTCCAGCACCGAGGGCCAGCGGGAGCTCTTCTTGCTGAGGAAGGTGACGTAGCGGCAGATGGGGCAGACGATGGTCCTCTGGACCTGGCCGTCCACGCGGGTGGAGAGCAGGTACTTGACCAGGCAGTCGTGGCAAAACACGTGGCCGCAGCTCAGCGTGCGGCTGGCGCCCTCCAGGTCGCGGAACTTCTCGTAGCACACGGGGCACTCGCTGCCCGAGCTGTCTTTGCTCTCTCCTTCGGACATGGCCACTCTGCCAAGGCAGGGCCTTAGCTGCGAGAGGGAAGGGCCGGGAGCCGCCAGCCCTCTCCCTCCTTCCCAACTCCCTCCCACCTGCCTTCTGCCCCCCTCTCTCTTGTCCTCCTCTGCTGCCCCTCCCCAGGTGCCTACTTGGCTTACACTGAGACTAGGACCTAGGGCCCAGGCCCCTTAGGAGGAGATGAAGGGGGCACCTCTACAAGGGGCTTTGGGAGACCCATAAGGAGCAACTCCAGCCCCGGGAAACTGGTTCGAGGTACATGGAATGTGTTGAAGTCTGACCTCCCTGATACCTCACCTAGGCACACTGACTTGGTGAGGTCATCACCTCACCTCTTCCTGCTTGGATGCCTGCAATGAAGGCAGCAGGACCCAGTTCCTAGGGGAAGCAGGCAGCTAAGCCGATGCTTCCCCAGACTCAGCCCGGTCTCCAGTGTGGCTGTCCCCAGAGTGGTCATTTCCCAGAAGATCCTCTGCTGCTCCTCTATCTCCCTGCTCAGGGATTGGCTGATCCATTGGATCGCATCCAGCCATTGGACTGCATTCCTCTGTGCTAAGCGTGGCTATAAAGCAATGACTGTTTTGAAAATAAAACTCAGAACTTACACATCCAAATGCCTGCTGGCTCTCTGTGTAGTCACGGCAGGGAGCTGTGGGCTCGTACCTCCGCCTGCCACAGCTCACTCATTCTTCAGATTCTTATTGCACTGCCTGAGGCAGTGAGAGAGAACCTCCTGCTTAACCTTGGCAAAGGCAGATTTTCATCCTTCGAGGATGTGTCTGATATGTTGGAAATGGCGAAAGTCACTGGGATCGAAGCCTGGTGAGAAAGTACAGGAGTGATCAATGGCATGATACTGTTTTAAATTGAAGATACGGAGTCACCATAAAGTAATTAGGTGGGTTTTAAACATAATTTGAGACCCCAAATGTGTTCTCAGCAACAGCAGAATTGTTGGATTAAGTACACAGCTCCTCAAGATGCTGGCTTTGAAGGCAGACACCAGCTTGGTATGTCCAAGTGTCCTCACTTAAAAGTCCAAGTGTCCTCACTTAAGAATCCCCCATATCAGGGCACATGGGTGGCTCAGTGGTTGAGCATCCTGGGATCAAGTCCCACATCAGGCTCATCTCAGGGAGCCTGCTTCTTCCTCTGCCTGTGTCTCTGCCTCTCTGTCTTTCATGAATAAAGAAATAGAATCTTAAAAAAAGTCCCCTGTATCATAACTGTGTAGACTAAACTAATCTAGGTTAGCCTCTTTAGAAGGAATTATGATCACCTGTCTTTGACATTTTCTTCCATCAAGGATGTAGACAAAAGATACCTGAACACACTGACAAATAGAACTCTGTGCCAGCCCCTAGACTCAAGAGATGACATAATGGGAACCAGATCAGTTACTAGAAAAAACTGTAGTTTCTCAAATCATAAATCTTTTGGTGTCTCTCTCCTCTCTTGGCTTGGTCCTAAGTGCATTTTTCCAAGTTGAAAATGCCCCATAAGGAATAAGGAGCAAAAATATGTAAAGGTGGGGATGGGGGAACTGGGACCTTGAAGACAGCTCCAAAACCTTTTCAAGCTTTGGTCTCTGGGTGATCAGTGTGGCCCCCAGGCTGGGGGTGAGGGTTTCAAGTGTTCAGACTCTGGAACTGAGTTCAAATCCTTGATATACCTATTATTGTCTGTATGACCTCAAGCAAATTGCTTAACCTGAGCCTGTTCCCCATCTCTAAGATGGGGGTAATAGTATTGTTTTCCTCTCAGAGTTGTTCAGAGTAATTTTTTTTTGAGATTTCATTTATTTGAGAGAGACAGCGAGCATGAGCAGGGGGAGTAGTAGCAGGAAAGGGAGAAGCATACTCTCCACTGAGCAGGGAGTCCAATGTGGGTCTCGATCCCAGGGCCCCAGGATCATGTTCGAACCAAAGGCAGATGCTTCACCTACTGAGCCACCCAGGTGCTCCTGGAGTTGTTCAGAGTATTAAGTAAGCTAATGTGAGTGAAGAGTTTGGCACACAGTACATGCTCAACAAATGGTAGATGTCATTGTTAAGGCCAGCCAAATCCTCTAGCATCTATCTTCTTCTTCTTTCCAGTTGTTCTTATTATATAGATGACTAAAAAAAAATAACACACATCTCTGACAGAGGGAAGCCCCCGTCAAATTAGAGTAACTATACAAGATGATGAAGATCTGTGGCTCCCGGGGCAGACTGGACAACAGGTCCAAGGAGGGATTAGATAAATGATGGGCAGTAGATAACAATCAAGATGGTGAATCCAATGTTTCTGTCATTTCTGTTTCATAACACACTTGCAGATGTCTAAACTAAACTGGGGTTTTCTCAAGGATGACCATGATTCTCTTAAGCCAACTTCTAATATGTCCCCCTGTATCTCACAGTGCCCCACAGGCATATGGCAGCAGTTCCATCCATCCATTGATCCGTTGATCCCTCCATTCTCCCACCCACCCATCCACTCATCCATCCAATTATTCAATAAATAGTTATTGTGCTCCTGCTGTGTGCTAGGTACTGACCTTTGGCATTGAAGATAAGCAGGTTCAAGAAAGTCCTTCATGAAACTTTAGAGTAGTGGATATGTATAACTGGTTTTGAAAAAGAGATTTTTAAAAAAAGATTTTATTTATTTATTCATGAGAGACATGCAGAGAGAGAGAGAGAGGGAGGGACACGCAGAGGGAGAAGCAGGCTCCAGACAGGGAGCCTGATGTGGGACTCGATCCTGGGTCTCCAGGACCAGACCCTGGTCTGAAGGCGACGTTAAACCGCTGAGCCACCTGGGGTGCCCAAGATTTTTTTTTTTAAAGAAGGAATGGTGATAGGTAGCTGAAATTGTTTGAGTAACTGAGAAGTAGCTATCAAGGTAGGCAAGAAAATTAAAGCAGATAGTTAAGAGAATGCTAGGGGAAGGAAGGGCTTTTGAGGTCATTTAGTCAAATCTAGTCTTATAGGGGAGCAGACGTAGGTCCAGAGAGGAGGAAATGACTTGGGTGAAGTCACTTGGGGAAGGTGACAGAGAGGGAGATGGCAGAGAGAGAGAGAGAGAGAGAGAGAGAGAGAGAGAGAGAGACAGAGAGAGGAAATTCCATAGATGACATAGAGAACATTAGAGGAGTTGTAAGTAGCTATGTAGCTGAGTCAGGAAGCACTATCCTCCTCAGGAGGAGCAGGGGAGGAGGGAGGAGAGCCTCTAATAGTCATTGGAGTTTGAAGAAAAGTAAAAGGGATCCAGAGATGCAGAAGACATTCCAGGTCCCCACTGGTGGCCTCCCTGGGCAATCCTTTCTTCTTCCTAGGCTTCAGAAGAGGCATGTCACTCATGCCTGGACAGTGCCACCCATCCCCACCTTCTACTCACCTCTCTTTCTCAGTCTTTCCCTGCCCACTCCCTCTCTTTTTTGATTCCACTCATTCTTGCTCCTTGAGTTCTTCTCCTGGGCATGCCTCTGTCTTGGGTGCTGGGGCCAGGGTGAAGGCAACAGAAGAAATGCAAGGACCATGCTCTAGTTTGGGTGCACTCTAGCTCAAATACAACATGAGACGTTCTATGCCAAAAGGCAACCCCACTGGTGCTTTAGGAAATGGTGGGAGAGGAGGGCTGGAAAGTCTTTCTAGGTGAGGTGGGACCAGTGTCGAGCTAGTAATAAATAATTATAACAGCGACCATTTATTGAACAGTAATTATGTGCTTGGCATGTCGCATCCCTTCCTCATGCAATCCTGACAACAATTCTGGGAGGTAGATATTATCCCCATTTTACAGATGAGGAAACTGAGGCCCAGGGCTTAAGTAACTTCTTCAAAGTCACACGGCTGGGGCAGGATAGACCCAGGGCGCTAGGGATTGCCAGCTCTAGTGGGGGTTTGGATGTGCCTCCAAAGGAGAGCAGGGTGATGGAACAGGAGGTCCCAGCCCTCTTACCTGTGCAGAAATACTGATTTAACAAATATCCACAGGGGGCACCTGGGTGGCTCAGTGGTTGAGTGTCTGCCTTCGCCTCAGGTTGTGATCCCAGGGTCCTGGGATCGAGTCCTGCATAGGGATCCCCGCAGGGAGCGTGCTTCTCCCTCTTGCCTATGTCTCTGCCTCTCTCTCATGAAAAAATAAATAATTTTTTTTTAATCCACGGATGAAAATACCTTCTGGGAGCTCCAGAATCCAGCTTTTTTTATGTCTAGCATATCTTGTAAAGTGGTTTAAAAAAAAAAGAAAAAGAGGAAAAGATTAAACTTGCTTTACCTTGGTAAAGTCCCTCCTGAGAGTGACAGAGTGACTCTAAACAAGGTTGCCACTCCAGCCACCTGTGAGGCCGAGATTGGGCCAGCCAAGGGGCACTGACCTCATGAAGTCCCAGTGCCCCACTTCACCCAGAGCAGCAGCCTATCGAGACGGCTGTTTGGGGGAATCATCAGCCCAGGAGATTCCTGCCTCCCCACTTCAGGACTGTGAGCCCCTGAGACAGAGAGATGCTTCTGGGCTTCCCTCCTGGATTTCCAAAGCAAGGCCCTGTGGCTTCGGCTGTGACCACTCCCCTAGATACCACACACACACACACACACACACACACACACACACACACTCCCACACCCTTGTGGCATTCCAGTTTCAGTCCAGAACCTCGCCACACTCTGGCTGGGTCCCACTCCTTCCCCGCCCCCAGCCAGGCCCCCAGACTCACTTTGCTGGGATCAGCATCCACCTCTCCACCACGTCCTCCGCGGAGCAGATCTGAGCCACCCACAGGTGCTGGGCAGACAGCACGTCTTCCTGCCGCTGTTACTGTGATAGCCGCCGCTGAGGCATTTCCTAATGACTGAGCAGGTCTGGAGGACAGTGGAGGGAAGTGAATGTCGCCCAACCCGTTTGAGGCCAGGAGGCTCTTGGCGTTGCCCAGGGCTTTGGCAGCTGCTGGAGTCAGGTGATCTTGACAAGGATGTTCGGAGAGGAGCCCCCGATCTGAGGGGGAGCCCAGGGATGAGTCTCCCAGTGGAGGCAGTGACCCAGGACCCAGGGTGGGCTCCCTATGGGTGGGTCTCCTGATTCCAACAATAAGAAATTTATCCTCATGGTCCTTCACCCTCCCGGACCCATTTCAGTGATCCTCTTCCCAAACCCCTGCTCCGTTGCCATGTGCTGGATGGGGGGGAGGGGGTCACATCAGCCTCAGGGAGGCCACAACACCCAACATCATATACAAATATCTGGGTGGTGTGTCCATATGCATTTGCCATTCATCAAACACTCAAAGGGACTCAGAGCTCCCAAGACCAAACACCATGGGGGTAAAGAATGAGGCAGAGTAAACCAATGAATTAGAAACATGAACCTGCCTGGAAAGAAATCCCTGACATCATGGGGAATAGGGAAAAATTTCCAAACAATTTGTAAAATATGATTCTATTTATGAAAATTATATATTTTTTATAGAGAAAAATCTGGAATATGATATATCAACCTTGGAAGTAGTTATCTCTGGAGGGACTTTCTAACTTATGCATTTCTGTGGTATTTGAATGTTCATCCTGCTTATTTTGTGATGAGAAATAAATAATCAAGAATAAGGCAGGAACAAAGAGGGTGACAGTGAGAGAACAACTGGATACCATTTGAGGGATTCTCTCCCGGTTTTCTCAGGGCTGGAGGCCCAGTCCTCAAAAAATTGGTTTTCTTTTGAAAAAGGAGCTTCCCGGATCCAAGGCATAGTGTGTGACTTGCGTGAGTGTGACTCAGTAGGGTGCCCCAGGATGGCCCCTCCTGACCTGTCCCATCATGGTCTGTCTCCACGGGGACCCAGAGGCCGGTTGGGTAGGGTAGTCAGGGCGGTGCACCCAGCCACCTCGCCCAGGGACATGGGGATGGCTGAGTGCCAACTGTCACGACAGTCTCTTATGTTCTTTCTCCAAGAGCTGAAGGGGAGGAGTTTCAGGCAGTCCTAGATTTAGCAAATAAAAATGCAGACTGCCTTGGGGAAATGTGTATTTCAGATATATAACAAATACGTCTTTTAAGTATGAGCATCCTCAGTTCAGTAATTGGGACCTACTTATACTAAAAAATTATTCATTCTTTATCTAAAATTCAGATTTCACTGGACAATTTTGTATGTTTCATTCTGCATCTTCTCCCGTCTGAGAGGGCTCCCCAAATTTCTGTCCTTCCATCAGCACTACCAGGGGTCCCTTCAGTAGTTTGGCTCATGACTCTGCCTAGGGCTTCTGGGAGAAAAGGAGACTCAGATACTCATCCTCTGTGCCCTGTATGTCCCTGGGGGAGGGGACTGATCCAGGCTGGCCTGTCTTTAGACTAATGTGATGTGACTCTGGGGTGACAGGAAGTTCCTGGAGCCCCCAAATCTCTTCTACTAGCTCTGCCATGAAGCTTGACTTTGAAGATGTTGGAGTTGCTGGGGGACCAATGTGTGTCCTGGGGAAGAAGCCAGCTAGGTTAGGGATGGGTCTGGGGAGGATCATTGCGACCCCATAAGACCTTCCTTGGAGAGACCTCTCTCAGCATAGGGAGCCTCTAGACAAGAATAGAATCCTGACTGAGGCTGGCTGACTTGACAAATGACAGGAAGTATAGTTTGTGCACGCAATGAATGGCTGAATCAGGACAGAGGTTCTTAAATATCAGAATCATCTAGAGAACTGATGAAAGATACGGATTCCGAGGTCCTACCTCAGGACCTAGCAGACCTTGGGAGAGGCCTAGGAAACTATATTTTATATTAATTTTTTAATTGGATGGACAAATGAGTGGATGGATATAATGTAAGAATACTGCATGCTAGTGGAATCTGAGTATTGCATGTATGGGTTCTCTGTAAAATTCTTTGAACTTTGCTGTATGTTTGGAAATAATAAATGCTGGAACAATGATTTAATTTCTTGAATAAGTAATGTATCCAGATGATTTTTAAAATGTGGGGCGCCTGGGTGGCTCAGTTGGCCAAAGCATCTAACTCTTGGTTTCAGCTCAGGTCATGATCTAATGGGTCTTGGGATCGAGACTTGTGTCAGACTCTGTGCTTGAGGATTCTCTCCCTCTGCCCCCCTCTGCTCCCCTGTATTTGCTTGCTCTCTCTCACACATTCTCTCTCTAGAATAAAGAAATCTTTTTAAAAAATTTTTTAAAAAGAAAGAACAAGTGTTAGAAGTCCTGCATTAGAGATTCTCTCCCCTTCTTTTTCCTTCCTTGTCTGCCCATTTTCTGTGTGTCCCAAAAGGTCACCACTAACTCACACCCATCAGGGTGGCTATTATAAAAAACAAAGAAAACAAAATACCCAGAAAGAACCAATATTGGCAAGAACATGGAGAAATTCAAACCTTTTGGCACTGCTGGTGACAATGTAAAATGGTGCAGCCACTGTGGGAGACATTGTGATGGTTTCTCAAAAAACTAAATGTAGAGTTACCATATGCTCCAGCAACCCTACTTGTAAATCTATACCCAAAAGAATTGAAAGCAGGGATGCAAACAGATATTTGCATACCCGTGTTTATAGTTCACAACAGCTGGAAGGTGAAAGCAACCGACATCCACTCACTAGCAGGTGAGTAGGTAAATAGCATGTGGCATATGCATGTAATGGAATAGTACTCAGCATTAAACAAGAAGAACATTCTGACACAAGCTCCCACATGGATGAATTTTGATGACACTATGCTGAGTGAAATAAGCCAGCCATGAAAGGACAAATACTGTATGATTCCATTTACATGATGTTCCTAGAGGACTCTGATTTATAGGCACAGAAAGGGGAATGGTGGTGGCCAGGGACTGGAGGAGGGAGAATGGGGCATCATTTCTTAACGGGTCCAGAGTTTCAGTTTGGGAAGAAGAAAAATGTTCTGGAGATGGATGGTGGTGGCTGTGCAGCAATGTGAATGTGCTGAATGCCACTAAACATGGTTAAGATAGTAAATTTCATATTGTACGTGTTTTGTCACAATTCTTAAAAGAGATAACCGCTGTCATTAGTGATTATTCTTGTGTATCTTCTTTATATCTGCAGAGAAAATACAGATCTTGATTTGTATTCCTTTCTCACTTTTTTTTTCGCCAAAAGATAGCGCTCCACATGCATATTTCTGCATCTTGCATATCCTACTTGAACTGACATCTTGGAGCTTTCTCCATGATCACACATGTACAGTGCAGTTTTGGAATCCAAGATTTTAGCAACTTCTCCAAGTAACGTCAAGGGGTGGCCTGTCTGGGAACCTCGCCCAGGCCAGAGGTTGGGGTTGGGGTCCTGGGTAGCTTTATTTATTTATTTATTTATTTATTTATTTACGATAGTCATACAGAGAGAGAGAGAGAGGCAGAGACACAGGCAGAGGGAGAAGCAGGCTCCATGCACCGGGAGCCTGACGTGGGATTCGATCCCGGGATTCCAGGATCGCGCCCTGGGCCAAAGGCAGGTGCCAAACCGCTGCGCCACCCAGGGATCCCGGTCCTGGGTAGCTTGGACCTCCATCCTCACTCCTTCCTCTAGGATGGGTAGAGGAGGACCAGAAGCTGAGGTGGCTCTTTCAGACAGGGGCATCCCTCCGTAGCATCCCCCAGGGAGGTGGGATTCCCTGCAGATCCTGGCTCTCTTGCTCCCCTGGAGAGACTCCAGATGTGTGGTAGCAGGGGCACACTACACTCTCTGCTCCACCTTCTCTCCACCTGCTGTGGGGATGGGTAGGGCTGCTAGGCAGGGGCTGCCCTAAGAGGATGGAGTCACTCCTGCCATTCAGAACTTTATGCCAGGACCAATCATTTAAGGAGAATAGTAAAGTGGGTCACCCTAAATATTGAAGGCTAAAGGGATGGAGGGGTCAAGGGGAGGAGACCTGGAGCTAGAGGCAATGGAGGGTGGAGGGGGTAAGAGAGGAGAAGGAAGAATGGGATGAAGGTTAAGGCCAACCTCTGCTAGAACAGAGGCTCTTGGTCTTTAGATCACTGCCATCCGTGAACAGACACCTGACAATGATCTTCCCCAGATGAACATGCAGCTGTGGGCACACCTGGAGCAAGGACCGGGACCTGATCAGGGATACCGAGGGCTGTGTTTGGTTAGGAGACAGGAGACCATTGCCCTGACTGTCCATATTCTGGCAGTGGAGGTTTGCTCCATCCTGGCTCTGGATGAGGCTGGGGTCATATAAAGGGGGGCAGAGTAGGAGATGGGGGGCAATTTGTCTGTGCCCCTGTGCATGCTCACAGTGGTTGTAATTAAATGATGCCTGTGTGGCAGGAGGTGGGTGTCTCCTTGCCGTGCTTGAGCGTGTGTGCGTGTGTGTATGTGTGTGTGTACATGACCCTTGACCCCCCTCCTGCTCTGCCTCCACTCGTCAGCTTCTTGATTGGCCTGAGGAATGTGGGCAGATGGGAAAGCCAAACCCAGGAGGGCCGAGGACCCCAAAGTATGGAGTAGAGGAGCCTCTGGTTCCCAGGGAAGCTCATGCAGAGGCTAAGGCTTTAGTCATCCCTGAAGATACCCCACTGTCCTCTCCGGCACCAGCCAGCATAGTCCAGCCACTTGGACCTCCTTGGTGAGGCCACACACACCACCCCTGCCCAGTGTGGCCAGAGGAGGACCCAGAATTAGGTGCAGCCCTGGTGGTCTCCCCATCCCTGTGCATCCGTTGGACCCTGGCCCTGCTTCGTGCCAGCCAACTC